TTTACTTTAGCATGAAACCCATCCATCGTTTCCTCAATATTCGCGTCATTTTTGCTGTGCGCTTCTGACGCGGCGAGTATAAACCAGGCTCTACACTCGAAGCGCTGCGCAGCTCAAACGAGTCGCGCGGTTTCGTTATGCTTTCAGTTTCGTTTGCCGTTTGATGTTTCTCACATGCAACAGAAATGCAGCGCTTATGAGTTAAACAATGCGGTGGTCGCGCCAGTGTGACCGCACATAAAATATAGTCGCACCAGCAGAAAAAATTATCGCAAAATGCGCCACTGGAGCCCTGTGCAGTACAGTATTTATTTATCCTCAGTTGTTCAGATCGCGGTAATTGAATACGGTTATAGTGATAATTAAAATATGAAACGGTAATACTAACTGTGGGGTATTTTATCACGATTTATCATCAAACCGGTAATCGTTACATCCCTACTATTTAGTCATTTTTTCTGACCATCAAGTGTCAGTCACTCTCAATGCCAACTGGCAGGAAAACATGGTAAATTGTGCCGGGGCTAAGCAAGATTCTGATGGGGCTATAGCCCTGTCAAGCTATAGAAAGAGGGTAAATAAAGAACTGGGGGCGGTTGCATAAACTGTTTAGACTAGTCTTAAAACGTTAGTCATCTATTTTTTTTTTTCTTCAAGACCGGTCATAACTTTTTAAATTCAGTTATGAAAAGGTATATTTTATGTATTTGAGGTCTGAGATGTGGGAACGGTGAAGAGAGTGAGGGCAAACATTTTAGGTCTGCATTGCCGTCTAATCAATTAATCTTTAATGAGCCAAAAAACGCATGTCACACCTCTGTTCATCAATTTGCACTGGCTACCAGCAGCTGCTCGCATTAAATTCAAGGCATTAATGTTTGCCTACAAAACCACCACTGGCTCTGCACCCATTTACCTAAATTCATTACTTCGGAGTTATGTGCCCTCTAGACGCTTGCGTTCTGCAAGTGAGCGTCGCTTTATTGTGCCATCCCAAAGTGGCACAAAATCACTTTCACAGACTTTTTCATTAACTGTTCCCTCCTGGTGGAATGACCTGCCCAAATCAATCCGAGCAGCTGAGTCCTTAACCATCTTCAAGAAACGACTAAAAACACATCTGTTCCACCTTTATTTGACCCTCTAACTGTAGCACTTTCTATTATATTTTAATTCTACTTTATCTATATTTATCATCTTTTTTTTATTTAAAAAAAAAACTAGCTTTCTATTTTTTCTATTCTATCTACTTGTTTTTCTTTGTGTATGTGTGTGTGTGTGTATGTGTATATATATATGTGAACAGGGTTGGGCACCCCTGCCTTTCACTATAAATGAGCATGTAAAGCAAATATCTTCTAAAAGAAATGCTATGTGGAGCATGCCCCCGATCCATGCAATGTTCTCACCTTTTCCCCGCTTACATGTTTGCATCTCTGATAGATGACTGATGAGAATGGGTTCGGGGAGCTGCTGCGGATGACAGCAGAAGAGTTTGAGTTTCTGCTGCGGATGGTCGGGCCCCTCATTACCAAACAGCACACAAAAATGAGACGGGCGATATCCCCAAGAGATCGCCTCTCTGTGACCTTGCGGTTTTTGGCAACAGGTGGGTCTGCCAGGGCGATATCAGAATATCTACTGCTTTAACTATTATCCATTTTAAGGGTCTGTTTGAGTGTGCATTTTGTAATTTATTTCTTATGCAGGCAAAACGTTCAGTTCCCTCAGTGCCCAGTACAGGATTGGGGCCAGCACTATTTCACAGATAGTTATGGAGACCTGTGGCGCTCTGTACCAGCTTATGAAAAAAGACTTCCTGAAGGTAAGCACTGATTACCACCATTTACTCAAGTACAGTGCACATTTATTACTTGGTGCTTTTCAGTGAGATGAGTTCCACCATAAACATCTGCTGCAGTAATAAACTACTAAATAATTTTAATACACAAGGGACGTTTTGGGTTTTGTTGTGACATCGACATTTGAACTTGTTGTGACGTGATAATGTATCGTGACCATGCAATGCGAAGTCATGGCCTCAAGATCATATGTTGAGGGAACAACTTTTAATGTGTAAACAATCATAGCAACCTGGGATTATCAGAAATTGAAATTATAAATAACAAAGACTCGACTTTAATAAATACAATTTTATTTTGAATTAAGGATGACAGTGTGGCATTAAGATATGGCTATATTATATTGCACATGCAATGTGTAGACCGCATCTAAATGAAGTTTGAATATTTTTTTATTATATGTTAAAAGAATATATATGAACATAATATTATACTATTTAAAGCAACATAAATACTGTAAGTGCTCGACAATCATGTCAGTAAATCTTTGACTCTATTTCTGTAGGTCTACACCAGTCAGTGGCAATAAATGAGCATCTGTTTTATGTTATTAGTGACTCATTAAAGCATTGGCTCAAAACAGTGAGTCTTTAACAAAATGAAACCTCAGTGAAACAATTCATTCAGAAACACTAATAATGTCCCAATGAAAACCACTAATTTTATCTTTATAATTATCCTTACTAAAATAGTCTAAAGTATTAAAGCCTAAAATAAATGTTAAATTAGTGTAAAGTGCAGTTTATTAATGTAAATGATTAACTTATAAAGTCATATAAAATTAACGTTTTTCGCAAGATGGTCAGATATTTACAGTATTTACAACACATGTATACTTGTGTAGTAAAATAGCTAATGCAGAACATTAACTGGGTGAAGAGAAGCATGAACTTGAGGGGAAAATAAAATAAAGATATAACTAAATATATTAAACCACAAAAAGAAAAGGCTTTAAAAGACTTTGGGATGGGATGAATAAAATATTTTTCATATGCATTGTTTAGCATATATTAATAACAAATTTCAAACTTCATAATTCTGTCACAGGCAAGAGGTATCTATACATTGTGCATAATATAATATACTGGCTTTGTCATTCTTTATTCAAAATACAATGTTATGGATGTCGTTACCTTGACAAAAATTGTCAAATCATGAATTCATATTCACAGTACTGCATTTTTTTTTTAAATACATGTGAGAAATACAGTATATAAGAATCAGTGTACAAATCTTTGTCTTAACTGTTTTTCTTTTCTGTTGCTAGACACCATCAACAGAGACAGAATGGCGGGCAATAGCCCAGGACTTTGAATCGAAATGGCAATTTCCACATTGCCTAGGTGCGCTTGGTGGAAAACAGATTTATATACAGCCTCCAGTAAAAAGTGGCTGCCTTGACCATAATAACAAGGGCCGATTATATGTGACAATAATGGCTGCTGTGGATGCAAATTACAAGTTCATCTGTGCCAGTTTGGAAACCCAAGATAAGGTCTCTGATGCTGGACTATTCGCTCATTCCGACTTGTGTAAAGCGATGGATCAGGGTCTGCTGAATTTTCCTCCACCTGAACCATTGCCCAACAGTGACATAACAATGCCGTACATGTTTGTGGGTGATGAGGCGCATCCTTTAAGGCCTGATCTCATGAAGTCATACCCAAATAAACAGATGGACCACAGTCAGGGGGTACTGAACTATCGTCTTTCAAGGGCACGTAGAGTTGCAGAAAATGCATTCAGCATTCTAGCAAACAGGTTAAGGGTTTTCAGGAGCACCATATTCTTGGAGGCAGACAAAGTGGAGAAGATCACTATGGCTGCTCTATGCATCCATAACTTCCTCCGCGAGCGCAGGTCCGAGGCATATACTCCTCCAGCATTTGCAGATTTGAAGAATGGGGACCACAGCATAGTTGAGGGAACCTGGAGGAATCGAGGGCATGGGACTTGCCAGCCGCTCGAGCAAAGAGAGGAGCACAATGCATTAGCTGTGGCAGAAATGCAACGAAACCTTCTGCGTGACTATTTTGTCTCGCCGGCAGGTTGCATTCCTTCACAAGAGGAACACATTTAGTATTGTAGGACTAGTATTTTTGTAGTGGAGAACACTCAGATGTCAAATGTATTTTATAGCACTCTTCACAATACGTTCACAATCGTTTCAAAACAAAGCAGTGTGAGGGAGAGATTCTCTGACACCTTTTACTGCATTGCCTTTTAAGGACATTTTTTCCTTTTTATTTTATTTTTTTAAAGTGCATTTACTAAAGAAAGATGTGGTTCTGTTGTGGTACTTTTGGCCATCAAAGTTTCATATATATTCGACATCGTTGTTTCAATTGAATGTAACAACAGAGGCTATTTTTATAACCTTTGTTTCAAAAAACAAATGTACAATAATTGAGAGTACATAAAATAACTGTATAAAGTTATGTATAACGTGCATTAGTGTACAGATTCTGAAAGAAAGTGATATAAGTTTACTGTTTTTTAACACTGTAAGGTCAACACTACTTATGCGTTTTACAACAGTGAAATAAAATCAACCCTGTTTACACAAACCAACAGTGTAACTATTTTGCTACCAATAATCCACATCTATGTATAAAAGTACCTTTATGAAGTAAATTTCCCTCCAACTATTCTCTTTCTCGACCCAGTACAGCTCAGAGGAAACCTTAAATAGGCATTACACTGAATTTTCTTTTTTTATTTCTTATGTCCAAGCAAATCGGTTGAGCCTTTTTCCAAACTGAAGCCATACTTGCTAATGTTCTGTTGCGGGTCTATGACTTTTCATAACTTTTCATAAGTTGTCAGTTACAGTCAAAACACATTTCACATTACAGGACTTGAAGTTGCAAAAGAGATATGTTGAGATATGTAAAATATCTCTCTGACATTTGGGCTTCTCTCAGATCTTTGCTAGGATCACTGGACTAAAATTTACATGACCTTCCAGAGCATCCTAATGTTAGAAAAGTGGCTGCTCATTTTCAACTACATGAGCATTTCTCAGTTTAGTTTTTTTTTTTTCATTCACTGAATTTTTTTGGTAAACTAGTTTGTTGCAGGCTTTGCAAACAGACTTCAATAAAGATCTGACAGTAATGCTGCAGTATGTCAGTAACTGTGTATCATTATAATGCCTAATTTGTGATCAGTGATTTTTGATATGTAAGTACTGATTTGTGTAATGCCTAGACTGCATTCACAATACAGCACAGCCTGATGTACAAAAATTGTTCACTTAGATGTTCGATGATCGAGGAGAATGAAATTTATGAAAATGCTTATTATAGTATTCAAAGACCAAGTTCATTGGCATTTTCTGATTGTTTACAGTTCAATGGAAAAAGTTGGACACTGTACAGAAAAGCTGTTAACACCATGGGCTGATGATTTCTTTTGGATGTCTGTTTTTAAAGCAGAAGTAATATTTGGGGGGTTGTTTATTGTTTGCCAGAATTAAAAATTTTTTTTTTTATTATAAGTCTTAAGTGTTCTATAAACTTTGTTTTGGACAGACTTTCTTTACATCTGCTCCTGTATATTTTTATATTCCTTTGGTGGAGCAGATACCAAGCTCTACCCAATCTTCTGATCTGCAACCGTATGTTTAACAAAAACCGAGCCTATGAGGAGAACATGCTGCCAACAGTTCAGCATTGTTAAGTATTGCGTCTTTTATTGGATGGGATGCAAACTTATTTGTGTATAGTTGGGGGGGGTGGAAATGTTTCGGTTTTCCCAAAGCAGTTCACACACATTAAACAAGATTTAGAGGTCTGAGAGTGTGTCCTTTTGACCATTTGGGGCTATATGGTTCTTCTCCAAATAACATTTTAGTTTGCCTTTCAAGATAAAAGGTCAGGTGCTAGGAAGAGATATAGTTAGCCTACCTCTTCTGCCCCCTCAAAGGCTAATGGCCAAGTTTTAATAGCAACAAGCAAGTTTTAATGACATTAAAGGTCCTATCTTTTTTTTTTTTACTCCACCTCAATCATAAAAAATAAAAAATAAAATGTTTAATGCCTAATAAAAGCTCCGGGATTGTTATTTGTTACAGTTTTTATAAATGAATTAAATTAACTTGAAGACAAAGCGTTTTGCCTAAGAGCAAATTATTGGAAAATAACCAAAACCAATGGGTTTTGCTGCTTAAACTTGATATTGATTCTTAAATTGCATTTTAATATTAACATTGTATTCATTGAGTTGAAAAGCCTGCAGAATGAATGAATTTGTTTTTAAAGTGCTAATTCTTAACCTAACATCTTCTCATACAATTGCATTAAAAGCACAGGTGAACACAACTCTTTAATGAAATCCCTACAGAGGCCCGAAACAAAGTGTGGAGGTACTGAATATTTAGTTACATTACATGGGCCTATAAGGTACGTCCAAACGACGTCATTTCAACGTCCGAAAAAGACCCCTGAAGAACCAGAATGAGAGTTTTTATGACGTCTTTTCTCGACGTCTTTTGGACATCCAATATTGACGTCCATAGGACGTCCCTAAGAGGTTGAAATTTAGCTCAGATGTGGTCATTGTTGGACGTATTTTCAACGTCTTATAAAGTCAACTGCAGTCTCATTTAGACGTCATTTATACGGTTTCTGGACAAAATAAACACTCTTAGGCTGCATTGAATTAAAACTCATGTTTTTTTTTCAATGTAATTTTTATTTGTACAGGTAAATCAAATTACAGACTCAGTGTATTTGTACAAAAACCATGAAAACAAAAGAAACTTCACTTACTGTACAGTGGATAACAATTAACAAATAATTTAAGTTTAGTTGGGTCCATACATTATGTTCACCTGTTGGAGCTGAACTGGGAATTTTTTTTTTGTACTTTTTGCAACTGAAATTAACATAAAATTCTTAAAGATGATATTCTTTACTCATGCAATAATCAAGTGTTCATGTACCCAAATAATATATGCATGCACAATAATAAGAACAAAATATGCTAGTGCAGGGGTATTCAAGAGATATAACAATTACAAAAAGGGGAAATTAAAAACGTCATAACACGAAAAAATATAAATTTAAAGTAAAATGTAACATTAGATTGACAAAATGACGAATAAAAGCACATTTATAATGCTTACCTTTGGCTTAGCACCCGTCGGTCTGTCAAATGACCGTTTACTGTTTGAATTTCCAAGTTGCTGCGTCGCGTGCTCGCGTTGTGAAGGCCGTTCGTTGGACAGGTAGGGTCCCATCCTCTGTAGGTTTTATAAAGTGTCCTGTTTTCTTTAAAGTATGACGTTTCAGTTATTTTGAAGGTACACAAATAAAAATAGACCGTTTTGAATGATTTGAATGATAATGGATAAGCGTACCGCTGATATAATCCAATATGTAGGTTGTGTTGTTCAGCGTAAGCATCTCCATGCCTGTTTTTTCCAAACACTTTTTTTTGCAAATGTGAAGGATGGTGTTTTAAGTAGATATTCAGACACGAGAGAAGTATAAAACCTTCTTTACATAATAAACAATAGTT